TAGACAGTGCCTTTGCTCACAAGACATCTAGAGATGTGAGAGAGCAATGGAGAATGGTTGTATAATTGAAACTATAATAACTTAAACATTTTCTAACTCTGAAGTCGCGTACATCAAACAAACCTCTTTAGGGTTTAGGAAAACTATATTTGTGTGTATTAGACAACATATACAAAATATAGAAAGTTAAATGCCTACAAAAATAGAAATTTAAAAATGTGAAATATCGAAACACAAAATGAACTGAGTTATGACTATAGCTTGTGTTCTTTGGTGGGGGTTAATTTAACCATTAACCTATGGTGACTTTTACTCTATCATTAATTAAAATCTAGAAAAATTTTAACAGATATTTTCCTTTCTTCTGGAAGATATTATCTTGACTTCTTTAGTATCAGGAAGTTCATTGGTCCTACAGTTAGATTTATTATTGGGAGTAAGATCACACATTCTTCTCATACTCCTTTTCACCCAAATGATAATACTAAAATGGAAATCGTTTTGACCAAAAACATAGGTAAAGCCTTTTTCTATGTTGTATGTATGTGTAGGGCTGTGTGTGTGTGTTTGTGTGTGTGTGTGTGTAAGAATGAAATTTCTGGAATAGTGAAATCTATCAACACTCATTTATCCTCCCTGATCTTCAAATAAGCCAGCTTGTTTTCCAAATGACAAATGACATAGAACACAAGAACTTAATATTGTTTTTCTATCATGCTGAAGTCCACTACAGGGTAAGTGCCTAATATCACATATTATGGAGCTAGCCCAGAAGAGAATTTGAAGGTTCATTTTTAGAAAACTTAAATGGATTTCCAAATCCTAATTAAAGTATCATTCCTACAAGACAACCAGGATTTCATCTCTCTTCATATTTCAAATCTCTACCAGAAAAGTTGAAATATAACTATATAATTCAGGGTTGTTAAATAAAACAATTTAAAAGAGGCATTTTCAATATTTACATGGCCATGTTAACATAACTTCAAGTGACTTAAATTATTCATAAAAATGGTGCTTCACCTGGACTAACAGTTGCACTATTAAGATAGATTTCACACATGTTTATTCAATGACACAAATGTAGAAATATTGTGTAGAGTCTGTACTAATGCAAATATAAAAAAATAATCGCTTCCCTCTAAAAACTGACATTATTGCAGGAGGCTACGAAGAATATGACAAGTATGTAGAAATCTTGATAGAAAATTTAAAAAGAGAACTAATATGAGACAAATTTTATGTAAAACATCAATTTCATTCTAATTAGAGCAAGCTAAATTAGTAAATGTCTGATTTACACACTATTTAACTATTAGTAATTGAATTTTGCTTCACCATGGCTTACTGAACTCAAAAGTTTATTTAGGCACCCTCCTAAAATTTCACTGAGATGACAGAAAAAATATATATAAAACTAAGGATATATAGCAAGGAACTTGTTGAGTCAAAATAGTCAGAATATAATTTTGATTTATTGTTACTCTCTTTTAAGAGAAGTTGCTACTTGAACATTCTAGCTAATTCTATTCTACTACTGCAAGCAACAAATCACTTTAAATTCGTAAAAAACTGACTATAAGAAATTGTAGCGTCTAACAAAATTGAAAATTTTTCTTCAGCCCAGACCTTAGAATATTTTTTATTATTATAAAATAAATAGCATAAATAAGGCATTTATGCTATGCCTTATTCTCATTATTTCTTTTTCATTCTCCACCAAACCTATCAAGTGAGTTGGAAATGTCATTGTACCAAAAGAAAGAGAGGAGAGCACTTATGCTATGGTGTATTTTTTATCCAAGGTAATGTGAACCAACAACCAGGCTCTATTCTTGCTGCTTCTGTTCTTCCAAAGTTGTCAGTTCTCAACCAGGGCTATCTAGGAGACCCTCCATTCTCCTGGCTGACTGGGTCATAAGAACACACAAAGAGGTCTGCCAGCAACCCTGAACCAGGCTCTGTGGTCAAGCTCAGTTGTTGCTTTAAAAATAAGCAACATTTTGAGCATTTTTATTTCTTCCCTGGGGAAAGATTATATGATGTTGGTGACAATTCAATTATAACCCTCTTAAATCATTTCAGGCAAGTTCAAAACAGGCATAGTCTCCAAACAAAGAAATACTTTGCATAGAAATTTTGCAAACATGACTTGTTATACCCCCTTGCTGTGGTATATATAACAATTCTATCTGTGGAAAGATACACACCAAGCTTTAACTAGAAAAAACTAGTCTGGCAAAGTCATTTGTTTCCCATTTAAAAGGTTACTTAATGTTGGGAAGACCAAGACAGTGTGAATAATGGACTTACACATAGTGAGTCCTTAGTGTAGATAGCCACTAAGTTAATTCAGATGCAACAGATTCAGCTCTACTTTATTTAGCACCTACCATGTGTCTGTTCTACATAGGGACTGCATATAACAATAGAAAAAGATGAGTTGATGTATCACCATATTAAAGAGCCCAGAGATTTGCTTAAAGGTCTCATATAGTGCCACATACTATTATGAGCATTATTCAAGATGCTTGTTCGCTGAAGAACACAGTACAAGAGAATCACTTCTTCATTCCTAGTCCAATTGCCCAGTTCAACCCATAATGCCTGATTAGTACACAATCCCAACAGCCTTCTAACTACTCCGATGGCTTTCAACTGTTATTCACATTCCAATCATCTTTCATATTGTTCTCAATATTTATTTCTAAAAAGGCAGCTCTAAAAATGGTCATTCATCTACATAGATTCTTCCCTCGCTGACTCCCATTACCTACATAGAGAGTTTAAACTCCTTGTCATGGTATTTTAGATACTTAGAGGACTTAGGTCTGACTTACCTTTTCAACTACATTCTCCTTCATTCCCCACCATACCTATCATGCTGAACTACTTATCCTTCCCCTAAAAAAAAAAAAAAATCATACATTTTCAAATCCTTATTTTTTTTCAGTACTCCTATCTCTATTTGGAAAACACAAAGTTTGTACTGGATATGATTTACCTAGTTCTGTGACTTTGTACAACACAATAAGACTAGAAAGCAAGTACAAGCAAATTAGATAGATACTTGGATGTCTCCAAAGATGAGAACTGATGATGTTGAGATACAAAAAGGTAATAAGGGTGACAAAACATGACGTGGTGACTAGAAGAGTCTAAGTTGAATAGAGACATGAAATCTAGAAATGACTGAAAGACCAAATGAATAGGAAGGCAGTGAAGCAACTGATGGCTAAGGGAAGAAAAAGAACATGTTCTATGGCAGAAATTAAGAGTAAAAGTTTGGGATAAAAAACATTAGATATTTGAAGTTGAACAGTTCTAGTTGATGATGAGTTTCGAATGTTGAGAGGGAATTGCCAAAATTGAATTTTGAATGGGAGATGACCAAAGGGCCATGAGGCTAAAATTTGGAAAAGGTCATACAGATCAAATCAGCTAGATGAAGCAAGTATAAGGCAAAACATTGTCTTAATTGCCCAAATCTTCCCCAACTGTGGAGGAGGTGAAGAGGATGACATTGAGGTGAAGCTTGAATAGAGAGGTGAAATCTAGAAATGACTGAAAGACCAAATATCTTTGATGACATAGACCTCAGCTCATTGCATAACTTAAAACCAAACTGCAATACATCTAATTTATATCATTTAAATAAAATATAGCTTAAGATAATTACCATTTGAACATAATTTCTATCAAAAAATACCCATACAGTTGATTTGTATTTTCATAGTTGATTAAAAACTGAAAGATACATTTTTTTTTTTTTTTGAGACGGAATCTCGCTCTGTTGCCCAGGCTGGAGTGCAGTGGCCAGATCTCGGCCCACTGCAAGCTCTGCCTCCCAGGTTGATGCCATTCTCCTGCCTCAGCCTCCCGAGTTGCTGGGACTACGGGTGCCCGCCACCACGCCCGGCTAATTTTTTGTATTTTTTAGTAGAGACAGGGTTTCACCATGTTAGCCAGGATGGTCTCGATCTCCTGACCTCGTGATCTGCCGCATCCTCCCAAAGTGCTGGGATTACAGGCGTGAGCCACCACCCCTGGCCGAAAGATACATTTTTTAAGCATGCAATTGATTCAGGATTTTTCTTGGCCCCTTTGCCAGACTTCCATCAAGGGCACCCTGTCTACTTGGCCTGCAGTGCTTAGCCTGTTGTGGGAAGGAGCATGTGAACGAGTAAGTGCGGGATCTGGCTGGCCACTCCATCAACACAGTAGCAAGGTCTGTGCAGGGCCTACAGCCAGACCAGGCTACGTGTCACCTACAGGGGAACACAGTCGCACCCAGGCAAGGGTGCCTATGACCTCAAAGCCCCAGTGGGGGTGTTAGTGTACAAATTAGCTCTTTTAGCTCCACTGTCCACAGCCTAATGGATGGTAGCATGTTAGCAGCTCAGTCTCCCACTGGTACCATCATATGGGGCAGTTGCCCTCTGGTAAGGGCAAAGAACCAGTGTGAAAGCCTTTCTGGGTACCAGCACTCAGTGGGTGTCAAGCTCTTGTCCAGCATCCAAGAAGAATGAGGTCACGCTTGACGACTGAAGGATGGCAAGGGTGGAGAATTTTATTGAGCAATAAAAAGAGCTCTCAGTAGAGAGGGGACCTGGAGAGGGGATGGGAAAGGTAGGTCATCTTTCCCCGAAGTCAGGGGTCTCTTCCCCAAAATCAGGGCATCTCCTCCCCAAAGTCAGTCCACCTCCCTTCTACCAACTGAGTCTGGGGTCTTTATAGGCTCAGGATGGGTACAGGGTGGGCTGTAAGTAGTATTGAAAAGGCAGCATTTGATTGGTTAAAAGGCATTATTCAGAAAGAATCAATTGGGTGAGGGTGGGCACAGAAATAGAGTTCTCACTTTGGTCTGTGGGTTTCAGGCTGTTTTTGGATAGAAGGTGGGGTTTTACTGGGGACCCAAGCTTGTCTGTCTGGGATTTCTCTGCCTCCTGCCTCTATTACAATCACTGGAATAAAACATCTACTGGACCAAATACACAAGATTGAGAAAGTTTAAATTTAATAATAATCATGTAGAATGCCCCACAGTGAAAAAAACTGCTTATAATACATGTTGAGATAAATAAATGTTTAACCTTTTGGCTAAATTTAAAGTGTAGCAATAAAAATGGCTTAGTAGATTGCAAAACAGACAGGAAAAAGAACTCAGCCCCTGCTGTTTGAGTCAAGTTTTTCTCCAGAAACTTTATTAACAGAAGAAGCAGTGCTGATGCTCAGCACTATTTCATGCTTTGGCTGTGTCCACCCACAGAGGCATAAGTAGATTTTTATTAGACATAGATTAGATAAACTGAAAATATTCTGGGCTGTCTGTCAAAGAAAAGTGTCAAAAATCATTACATTACAAGAAGAAAAAGTGTTGAGTAGATGCCCTAAAAATGACTGTAACTTTCAAATCAGCATTAAAGCCTACACATGATAACAAGATTTTACCCCTACAGTTGCCAATATTTGTCTTAATAAGTGAATAATATCAACTGAACAATTGGGAAGGGTAACGACTAGGTAAAGGAATCTAAAAACAGTTATGTAGGTTCAAATTCAGAGACAGTGTTTAGATAATTGACCAGTGCTTCACATGTTACTCCCCACTAATTGAGATATTGTAGATTATTGAAGATATTAATGAAACCTGGGAAATCACCAACAGCAACCCGCTTTTCAAGTTGAATATTATCAAAACCTGAAAGGCAATGGAAAAAAATAATAAATTAGTGAACCAATGATGTAAGAAATTGGGTAATATGTCTCACATGTTGTAACAACACCCAAAAGCTCAAAGTAAATTGGCGGAGTAAGATTTAGCATGCAAACAAGAAAAACAAAAACAGGAGTCCCTATTCTTATATCAGATAAAATGATTTTAAGTCAATAAAAATTAAGAAGAACAAAGAAAGACATCACATAATAATAGAGGGTACAGTCCAACAAGAAGACTTAACTATTATATGTGTGTGTGTGTATATATATACACACACACACACGCATGCACACACACACACACACACACACACACACATATATGCCCCCAACATTGGAGCAGCCAATTTATAAAACAAGTTTTTCTTGGCTTTCAAAAAGACTTAGACAATGACCCAATCATATTGGAAGACTTTAAAACCCCACTGACAGCGTTAGACATATCATTGAGGCAGAAAACTAACGAAGAAATTCTGCACTTAAACTTGACCTATGGCCAAATTGACCTACTAAACATCTACAGAACAGTCTACCCAACAACCACAGAAATCAATACCAAGTATATTTCTCAAAACTACAGAAATTCATGGAAATTAATCAACTTACTGCTGAATAACTCATAGGAGAACATCAAATTTAAGGCAGAAAATAAAAAAAAGAAAAGTTCTTTGAAATCAGTAAAAGTAGGGACACAATGTACTAGAACCTCTGGGAGGCAGCTAAAGCAGTGTTAAGAGGAAATGTATAGCACTAAATGCCTTCATCAAAAAGTTACATCTCAACTTAACATTTTAACTTTGCACCTAAAGGAAATAGGGGGAAAAAATCTCAACCCCAAAGCTAGCAGAAGAAAAAAAAAAAATAACTAAAACCAGAGAAGAACTGAATGAAATTGAAATGCAAAAATCCATATGAAAAAATCAAATGAAACAAGAGTTGGTTCTTTGAAAAAATAAACAAGAGTGATATATTGCTAGCTAGATGAATAAAGAAAAAAAGAGAAGATACAAATAAGTACACTCAGACAGACAAATGTGACATTACAACTGATTCTACAGAAAAACAAAAGATTATCAAAAAATGCTATGAACACAAATTACAAAATCTAAAAGAAATGGATACATTTCTAGAAATGAAATCTACCAAGATTGAGTCAGGAAGAGATTGAAACCCTAAATAGAACAATATCAAGCTCTGAAATTGAATCAGTAATAAAAATTCTACTGGCCAAAGAAAAGCCCTAGACCAGATGGAATCACAGATGAATTCCACCAGATGTACAAAGAAGAACTCACGCAAATCCTACAAAACTGTTTGAAAAAACTGAGAAGTGGCTCCTCCCTAACTCATTCTATGATCGCAGCATCAGCCTAATACCAACATTGGGCAGAGACACAATGAAAAAAGAAACTTCAGGGTGGTATCCATGATGAACATAGATGCAAAAATCCTGCACAAAACACTAAAAAGATGGAATTCAGAAGTATATGAATAAGTTAATACACCACAATCAAGTAGGTTTTATTCATGGGATACAAGACTGGTTCATTAGACACAAATCAACAAATGTGATTTACAACATAAACACAATTAAAAACAAAACCATAAGCCCATTTCAACAGATTCAGAAAAAGCTTACAATAAAATCCAACATCTCTTCATCATAAAAATCTTCAACAAACTAGGCATCAAAGAACATACTGCAAAATAATAAGGACCATCTATGACAAGCACACAGCCAACATCATACTGAACTGGCAAAAGCTGGAACAACTCCTCTTGAGAAACGGAACAAGAGAAGGATGCATCTCTTATCATTAATACTCATTATAGTTCTGGAAGTCCTAACCAGAGCAGTCAGGCAAGAGAAAGAAATAAAAGGCATCCAAATTGGAAAAGAAGAATTCGAACTCTCTCCCTTTGATGACAATAAAATTCTATGCTGAGAGAACCCTAAAGACTCGATCAAAAGGCTTCTAGAACTGATAAATAACTTTAGTAAAGTTTCAGGATACAAAATCAACATTCAAAAATTAGTAGCATTTCTATACACCAATAATGTCCAGGCAGAGAGTCAAATCAACAATACAATGCTACTTACAATAGCCAAAGAAAATGAAATACCTAGGTATACAACTAACCAAGGAGGCGAAAAATCTCTACAAAAAGAACTATAAAACACTGCTGAAAGAAATCAGGGATGACACAAATAAATGGAAAAATAATCCAAGCTCATAGATTTGAAGAATTAATATTGTTACAATGGTCATACCACCCAAAGCAATTTACAGATTCAATGCTATTCCTATCAAACATCGTTCTTCACAGCATTAGAAAAAATTATTCCAAAATTCATACGGAACCAAGAAAGAACCCAAATAGCTAAAACAACCATGAACAAAAAGAACAAATCCAGAGGTATTGCACTACGCATCTTCAAACTATAATATGCTATAAGGCCACAGTAGCCAAAACAGCATGGTACTGGTACTAAAACAAACACGTAGACAAATGGAACAGAATAAATAAATGGAACTCAAAAATAATGCCACACACTTACAACTGTCTGATTTTTGACAAGGCTGACAAAAACAAGCAATGGGAAAAGTAGTCCCTATTCAATAAATGGTGCTGGGATAACTGGCTAGCCATATGCAGAAGAATAAAACTGGACCCTCACGCCTATAATCCCAGCACTTTGGGAGGCCGAGGTGGGCGGATCACAAGGTCAGGAAATTGAGACCATCTGGCTAACACGGTGAAACCCTGTCTCTACTAAAAATACAAAAAATTAGCTGTGGTGGCGGGTGCCTGTTATCCCAGCTACTGGGGAGCCTGAGGTAGGAGAATGGCGTGAACCCAGGAGGCAGAACTTGCAGTGAGCCAAGATCGCACCACTGCACTCCAGCCTGGGCAACAGAGCGAGACTCCGTCTAAAAACAAAAAACTGGACCCCCGTCTTTCACCAAAAAATAACTCAAGACGAATTAATGTTTTATATGTACCACCTCAAGCAATTAAAAAAAAAAAAAAAAGACCCTAGAAGAAAACCTTGGAAATACCCTTCCTGCTTCCTGAGACTTCTTGGCAAAGAATTTTTGTCTAAGTCTCCAAAAGCTATTGCAATAAAAGCAGAAGTAGTCAAGCGGGACTTATTCAAACTAAAAAGCTTCTACACAGCAAAAGAAACTATAATAAACAGACAATCAACAGATTGGGAGAAAATATTTGCACACTATGCATTTAACAAAGGTCTAATAGCCAGAATCTATGAGGAGCATAAACACATTGACCAGCAAAAAACAAATATTTCCATATAAAAATGGGCAAAATACATGAACAGACACTTATCAAAAGAAGACTTACAAACCACCAACAAACATGAAAAACTGCTCATCATCATGAATGATTAGAGAAGTGCAAACCAAAACCACAATGAGATATCATCTCATACCAGTCAGAGAGGCTGTTATTAAAATGTCAAAAAGCAAATACCAGAAACACTTGCTGACAAGGCTCAGGAGAAAAGAAAACATTTATCCCCCGTTTGTGGGAATGTAAATTAGTCCAGCCACTGTGGAAGAAAACCTAGGCAATATCATTCAGGACACAGGCATGGGCAAAGATTTCATGACTAAAACACCAAAAGCAATGGCAGCAAAAGCCAAAATTGACAAATGGGATCTAATTAAAGACCTTCTGCACAGCAAAAGAAACTATCATCAGAGTGAACAGGCAACCTACAGAATGGGAGAAAATTTTTGCAATCTTTACATCTGACAAAGGTCTAATATCCAGAATCTACAAGGAATTTAGACAAATTTACAAGAAAAAAACAAACAACCCCACCAAAAAGTGGGCAAAAGATATGAACAGACACTTCTCAAAAGACATGTATGCAGCCAACAGACATATGAAAAAATGCTCATCATCACTGGTCATTAGAGAAATGCAATCAAAACCACAGTGAGATACCATCTCACACCAGTTAGAATGGTGATCATTAAAAACTCAGGAAACAACAGATGCTGGAGAGATTGTGGAAAAATAGGAATGCTTTTACACTGTTGGTGGGAGTGTAAATTAGTTCAACCATTGTGGAAGACAGTGTGGCAATTCCTCAAGGATCTAGAAACAGAAATACCATTTGACAACAATCCCATGACTGGGCATATAGGCAAAGGATTATAAATCATTCTACAATAATGCACATGTATGTTTATTGCAGCACTATTCACACTAGCAAAGACTCAGAACCACCCAAATGTCTATCAATGATAGACTGGATTAAAAAATGTGGCACATGTACACCATAGAATACTATGCAGCCATAAAAAAGGATGAGTTCATGTCCTTCAAGGACATGGATGAAGATGGAAATGGAAACCATCATTCTCAGCAAACTATCAAAAGATCAGAAAATCAAACACCACATGTTCTTACTTGTGAGTGGGAGTTGAACAATGAGAACACATGGACACAGGAAGGGGAACATCACACACCAGGGCCTTTGTGGGGTGGGGGCTAGGCGGGTGATAACATTAGGAGAAATACCTAACGTAGGTGATGGGTTAATGGGTGCAGCAAACCACCATGGCACGTGTATACCTATGTAACAAAACTGCATATTCTGCACATGTAACCCAGAACTTAAAGTACAATAAAAAAGAAGAAAGGAAGGAAAGAAAGAAGGGAAGGGAAGGGAAGGGAAGGGATATTAGTTTACGGCCCTCAGACCCTTTCAAGAGCATTTCATGTGCTATATAAAGATTTGACAATGGTTGATCTACCACAAAAAAGAAAAAAAAAAAAAGATTAGAAACTACAGATACTGGAGAGGATGTGGAGAAATAGGAACACTTTTACACTGTTGGTCGGAGTGTAGATTACTTCAATCATTGTGGAAGACAGTGTGGTGATTCCTCAAGGATCTAGAATCAGAAATACCATTTGACCCAGCAATCCCATTACTGGGTATATACTCAAAGGATTATCAATCATTCTACTATAAAGACACATGCACATGTATGTTTAATGCAGCAATTTTCACAATAGCAAAGACTTGGAACCAACCCAAATGACCATCAGTGATAGACTGGATAAAGAAAATGTGGCACATATACACCATGGAATATTATGCAACCATAAAAGAGTATGAGTTCATGTCCTTTGCAGGGACATGGATGAAGCTGGAAACCATCATTCTCAGCAAACTAACACAAGAATAGTAAACCAAACACTGCATGTTTTTACTTATAAGTGGGAGTTGAACAATGAGAACACATGGACACAAGGCGGGGAACATCACACACTGGGGCCTGTCAGGGGATGGGGGCCTAGGGGAGGGATAGCATTAGGAGAAATACCTAATGTAGATGATAGGTTGATGGGTGCAGCAAATCACCATGGCACGTCTATACCTATGTAACAAACCTGAATGTTCTGCACATGTACCCCAGAACTTAAAGTATAATTAAAAAAAGAAAAGAAAATACGCGATTCCTGTTTACCACTATATAGGTGTCAATAAGTTACAAAATTATGGTATTGATCAAGACATTTTTCTTCAATAAACTGGCTATGTAGGGTGTTATGAAATTAGAAAAATATTTTAAATTATGAAAAAAATGTGCCAACTTGGTGTTTTTATTTTTCTTCATTCATCCACTTGCTATTTGTACAATAAGGAATAGCATAGCTATCCATAGATGATTATGGCACCCTTTTGCATTTAGGAGTTATGAGCTTGATGCTTCACAATAACCCTTAGAGACAAATAGGAGATGGATACATAATATGATCTCAAAGTGCATCATGATGAAAAGTAATGGCTCCACCTCTCACAAGCTGTGAAATTAAGGGCAATTGTTATAACCTCTCTGAAACTCTGTTACTTCCTTTGTAATGCCTACCTCCTAGGATCTTTGTGTGCAATTAGATAAAGGTTGTTAAAATTTTAGTACAGTGTCTTCCTTTGGAAAAATGCTTAATAAATGGTAGTTTATATTATCATTATTATATAAAACCAGTAAGAGAGACAGGACATGAAGGAAAGGACAGTAAGTACAACTTAACCTAGTGAAATGTTAATATCAGAAGTAAAAAGCATTGCAGGAGTTCATAGTAAAGCAGAACTATTCTCCAGAGATGCTTTTCTTGAGACGTTGCTAGTTAGTTGGGCCTCAAAGACAGGGGAAAACTCAAAACACAGATAAGGGAAGGAGAATATACCAGGTAAGGTGAAAGCTGAGGTTCTGAGGCACAGGCACATGATGTGTTTGGCAGTGTGGCCAGGAGACTCTTGAGGAATATCTTGGGACCTGCAATTGAAACAGTAGGTAGAAATAAGATAGAGGAAGGCTGTAAATGTCAAAGCAAAGAGTTGGATATATTTAGACATTGAAAAAATGAAGTGAAGTTTCCTAAACCCAGAATTTTAAACAAGTGTATTTATGTACACTGCTAAGTTAATTGATGCACATGTTCAAAAATTACTTCGTTAGATTTCTCAGATTGGATCTCTATTTTTAAAAAGCTATTCAAAAAAGCTTACTCTTGGCTGTGCGTGGTGGCTCACACCTGTAACTCCAGCACTTTGGGAGGCTGAGGCAGGTGGATCACGAGGAGTTAGAGACCAGCCTGGACAATGTGATGAAAACCCTGTCTCTACTAAAAATACAAAATTTAGCCAGGCGTGGTGGTGGGCACCTGTAATTCTAGCTACTCGGGAGGCTGAGGCAGGAGAATAGCTTGAAACCAGAAGGCAGAGGTTGCAGTGAGCCGAGATCGCCCACTGCACTCCAGCCTGGGCAAAATAGCTAAACTCTGTCTCAAAAACAAACAAACAAAAAACAAAACAGCAATAACAAAAAAGCTTACTCTTGCTGGCTCTAAAAATAGCAATTTATGCAGTCCACAAAACCTAGCACATAGTAAGTATTCAACACATGGTTCATAAATTTGCAATGAATTTTGTTCATTGATAATAATGAAAAAGATGTGTATATAAAATGTTATAACCCCAGGCATTATGTTTTCCAATAATTTCAACTTTCCCTACTCCAGCAGCCAACAAAGAGGAAAAACTGAGTAATTAGAATTCACCTCTTCTCCCTTCTATTGGACATGCTTAGGAGCAGTGGAAAAGCAAAAAATCAGGGATGATGCGGAGAGGTGAAGTCAGTAAATGACAAAAAAGCAAGTTACAAATTGAATAATCACTCTCTAAGTAATACAAGTTGTACAGTATTATGGATAATTACCATTTCAGAAGCACTTTAACAATGAATATCATTTGCAAACAGCTATTACTTGCATAGTTGAAAAGGGTTCATTTCCTAATCTCCCCTAATGGCACTTACTGTACAGCCAAAACTAATGTTATGTATGACACAGGGCTGAGGTCCTCCTTTAATGTCAAGTATACAACTGGGACATGACAGTTCATCCTGTGTTAAGTACTACTGGGAGACAATAAACAGTAAGAGGATGACTGCATAGGCACAGAAGCCAAACTTCTGGCTCAAGACTTGACTCCACCACCAACTAGTTTTGACCTAATGTAAAGTTCCTTATCCACTCTGTGCCTGAGTTTCTCATCTGGAAAAGGTGAATAAGTAGTATCTTCCTATAAAGTATACATAAGTTCACATATGTAAAACACTTGGGAAGAATGTCAAGAACGTGATAAAAGTCAATGAAAGTTAGCTATTATCATTCACTGGGTAAATGAATGACAAGAATTGATAGAGCAGGAAGCAATTGCCTCTATATAGGACAAAGTGTAAAAGTCAAGGAAGACTTCAAAGAAAAGGTAATGGTTAAGCCTGAAGGTTTGTTATGAAGGAATGGTGGAAGAGTAATTCAGGCAGGGAAATGGAGGTACCTGGTATATTCCAAGTGGGGAATAGACCTTTACTCCAGAAGTGGTGGAAAATGAATCCAGAACCGTAAGAGGTTGGGATGAAGATTTGTAAGAGTTTCAGAATTCTTTAAACTTCAGGTAATTGAAGATTTTGAAGGTTTTTAAACTTGAAAGAGACTTGACTAGGCCTCATATTTAGAAGGAACCTGGGCAGCCACTCAAGCTAAATGTGAGATAACTGTAGCAGCCAGACTCATTGAAGTCTGCAAGTACACTATGAGGCTATCACTGCTAGTTATTTAAAACTTATGATGCACTAGGCAACCAGGCACTGTGCTATTGTGTGTGTGTATATATATATACACACACACACACACACGATTTCTAACCTTTTTTTTTAAATAGGGTCTCATTTCATTGCCCAGGCTGGAATGCAGCGGCACAATCATGACTCACTGCAGTCTTGACCTCCCAGGCACTAGCAGTCCTCCCACTTCAGCCTCTAGCAGTCCTCCCACTTCAGCCTCGCGAACAGCTGGAACTGCCATGCCTGGATAATTTTCTTAATTTTTTTGTAGAGACAGGGTCTCCCTACATGGTCCAGATTGGTCTCGAACTTCTAGGCTCAAGTGATCCTCCCACCTCTGCCTCTCAATGTGCTGGGATTATAGGTGTGAGCCACTGCACCTGGCTCACATCTGTAATTGGCTCACACCAATTTCTAATCTTTAATGCAACTATGTAAAATAACTATTTGTCATTATACAAAATTATACATTATACATAAACAAAAGATCAAGAAGTTTAAGTTATCTACCCAACCAATAACAGGCTAGTAACAGGCATAGCTAAGTCTTCAAACATTCAGGTCTCTTGGGGGCCAAAGTTCTTCTTTCCACAAACACCTGCCTCCCTCCTGAGTCTGTTCTATGGCATCAACCTAAGACAATCAGTCAACAATGAGAACCTGAATAAAGGTGTCTACAGTGTGGATGAAGAGGATGATTGCTTACAAAGACACGTGAGGTCTGCAATTTAGAGATGTTTTGAACAGGGGCTTTGTGAAAATGCAAGATGTTAAAAACAATTCTAAATTTCCTAACACAAATAATACACTTTTCAGTATAGAAGAGAGGTGTTTGGTGAGAAAGATAATAGAGTTAGTTTGAAGATTTTGTAGGCTTAAAGTGCCCGTGGGACATCTATTTGGAATGATCTAGTTTTCAGGTAGAAGTAGAGCTTGAAGCTCTGCAGAGGTTAGCCTGCAGAAAGACTTCTGAGATATCAAGCATTAGGTGATAGCTGGGAATACAGAAAGAGAAGTTTGCACAGGGAAAACACATGAAAGAGTAGGAGAAAGAGAAAAAGGAGTTTTTGTGACACTGGATTAAGTTTTTAGTCTCTGAAAAGCCAGTAAGTTGAATCCTTGTAACAGTTACTTGAGTGTGCCAAACTACTGAGCTCTCATAATATCCATTAACGACAGACGTTTTTCAGTTCTTGACTGTATTCCGAGCAGTCAAATGTATTAAAAACATGCAAGTCATTGCCTTCCAAACTTATCAAACACCCCTTTTATAGAGTTCATTGACCATCAAAATCTCTCAACAAGAAAAAAAGCTAGAATTACAATATTAAACATAGACAAATAATTTGTGTACAAAATAGGAGCTCTGCAACATTATTTGTCAGGCTGGAACACAGATTCAGCTCCCCTGATTTGCACCCAAGAATATTATTCAATGGAGTGACTGCATCTGTTGACACAATGTGTATCTGTCCCTCCTTGGGACTGAAATGAAACCAAATCAGCTCACACTGCTGTCTTGATAGCTCTAAAATTATAATTGCTATTTAATCACTACTAAATTGGACTTGGCCTTCAATTCTTGGCAAGTGTTTTTATTACATTAGTAATATACTGAACTTCTCTTTCTTCGGTCTCTTTTGCCAAACATTCTGTAATGAAAATACACAAAATATTATTTTTGTAAAATGTTGACTACAGTGTAAGGCAAATAAGGTTATAGTTAAGTAGGTTCTTTTTATTTAAGATAAACAATGATATCATTAAGCATCGCGATAATGTAAAACTAAACAAGTGTAATCCTGATGAAAATTGTTTTCCAACTAAAATTCCTTTTTGAATGGCAAATCAACCTCACTAATATATAATATGTAAATTATGAAACTAAAATACATCTCACATTTGTGTTTAAATTATATTAGATTGATTTCTGCTCTACAAACACATTATGTTGCTACCAGCTTCCTTGGTAATTATATTCTTACAGCCAGTGAGAAAAAAGCATTTCTACATTCTAATAAAGAACAATAAAAAGTATGATTTGATTGTGCATTTTGATACCTATTTAGGAATAGTAAATAGCAAATTATTAACAAATAATTTATTTTAAATTAGGATATATTTTAATTGCATTAAAGCATAAAAAACTAAATTATAACGTTGGCTGAGTCACTTTAACTTCTAGTCTTCAGCTTTTCAACCATATAACGAATGATTTCTTAAAATAATTACAAAGTTCTTTCTAGTTATAATATTTTAATGTGAAGTGGCAATACCAAGGCATAGTACTGAAGAAACTTTAGATTCAATTTCCAGGATCACTCAAGACCACTGCCAAAGAACGTACCAATAAGAACAATGGTCAACTAAGCAAGTGCCAAGTTCAGTGTCGAGTTCACCGTGCACCCATCTAGCAAATTGCTGCCCCAACCTTCTCTGATGCAGATATTCTAGAGTGGAACTGCTCATACTCTTTAATCTTTAGTTTAAATATTTTTTACATGTAATGATAAAGCTTGTACTAAAACAAATATTTGTCAATTGAGGAGCATTTTAAAGCACACCTTCATAATTAGAAAAGATAAAGGGCCATTTTTTTTCTATAATACAAGACAACTGAAAGAAATGTTATAATATTCCTTCCACTATGCACATTTTGAATTTTCATCATTCCAAGAGTAGACCTACATTTGTGGTTTAAAGTTTCAGTGTGTTTCCTGTGAGGAAACAGGAGTTCCACTAACAAGTCTTTCTTTTCAAGGTCAATGACACATGCCATTGAAGCACTTGGGAGACAATTCTGCATTTGATTTCAGAGACAGAAGTTAAACTAAAATAAGCATATTGAGATGCACTAGATGCTAAATTATTTGCTCAGGTTCTGTAACTAGGAAACTTGAATTAGCTAGTGCCCCAGGCACTGAGATATTAAAGTTGTAATATAAAAAGCTCTGCTTATGACTTTGCCCTGATGACTTCTTGTCACTCATATGCCAAAAAAGCCTATTTGGAAATGCACACCAGGGCATGGGCAATAAGTAATTAACTGTGCTTTACTTAAAATCTTTTATTATACAAGTCAGAAACTCTGTTTCCCAATGACATTAACTTACTTGAAATGAATAATACACGGCAAGAAATTGGTCCCT